CATAAAGAAATTATAAATGTTTGAGGAAATAAATGTTTACCCAGCTTTAAACATTATACAAACTATATATGTATCTAAATATCACATAGTATCCCATAAATGTATACAATTTTATTTTCTATTTATCAGTTAATTAAAAATTAATTTTTTCAAAGAATTCAAAGAAATGTCTGAAACTTCCCATGTTTTGTAGAAGATATCAACTTAAAGATTCAAGAAACTGAGCAAACCTTAAACTGGAGCAATTTTTAAAAAATCCACACTGAAACACATCATACTTTTTAAGACTTTTTACTTTGAACAATATACTTTTGAACACCTTTAAAAACCAAACTGTGCCCAGGCTCCAATGTCAGGAGAACCACAAGTTCAAAACCAGCCTCAGCCACTTAGTGAGACCCTGTTTCAAAGTAAAAAATTAAAAGGGGTGGGGATGTGGTTCAGTGGTAAAGAGTCTCTGGATTCAATCCCAGGAAAATAATAATAATAATAATAGGAAAAATATTGAAAGTAAGGAATAAACAAAATCTTGACTAAAGAAGAAAAATAATTCAACAAACAGTATTATTTCTCATCAGAAACTATGGAGAATGAGGTGTCTCAAGACCTGTTAAATGCTGAAACAACTTCAACTCAGAATCACGTCCGGCAAAAATATCCTTCAGGAATGAAAATAAATTCAACATTCTCAAACTAAGGAAACCTAAGGAAATATGTTGCCAGCAGAGATCTCCTTGGGGGTGGGGAAAGGATAAGGAAAAAAATCTCTAAATAAAAATGAAATGATAAGAGGAGGAATACTAGAACATCTAGAAGAAAGAAATTCAAAAACTAGATAAAATAATTTTCACTCTCAAGTTTTTAAAATAAGCTTGATGACTAAAACATACCATAATAAAATGACAACAGTGATAAGACTCTAACAATCATGTGTGTATGTGATGTAACAACTGGGATAACCATTTAAAATTACATAAAGAGGTATATTCAAAACATAATCAACCAAAATAGTAAAAAATGTTCAAATAACCCACATGAAGGCAGAAATTAGAGAAATTAAAAACCAAGAGCAAACTGAAAGCAAAATAATAACATGGCAGACTTCATCTCTAACATAATTACATTAAATATGAGTAGTAAAATGGTAAATACACCAACACTGAACTGCTTTTATCAGCTGTACATATTTATATAGTTTTCTGAGTTCTCTGCTGTATTTCATTGATTTATGTATCTTTTTCTTACTGATACTATAGGGTTGATTAATATATCTATATAAATAGTATTAGAATCAGGTAACCTGATTCTTCTCACATTATTTTTTTTTCAAAGTTAGTTTAGGTAGTTCCTTTGCTTTCGCATATATTTACAATAATATTTTCTGTATATACAATAATCTTAAAATTTTGATAAGAATTGCATTAAATCTGTAAATTTACTATCTCCAGTCTTCTAATCCATGAACTTGGTATATCTTTCTTTCAAATCTCTTTATCTGCACTGTTCAGTTTTTAGCATCCAAATCTTAATAATGTATTTTGTTAGATGTACATCTAAGGATTTCATGCTGTTTGAGTATTGGTAAATGGAACTATATTTTTAATTTTGATGCCCATTTCTAGTACATGGAAATACAATGGATTTCTGTTTATCTTTTATCCTGTAACCTGCTCACTTATTAGCTCTTGGGTGCTATTGTTTAGTTGTTGTTTTTAGATTCACTGGGATTTTCTACATAGATTACCATGTTATATGCAAATAGGGACCAATAGGGACTGTTTTAATTCTTCTTAATCTATATGCATTTTATTCCCCTTGTATGCTGTACAGTACTGACTAGAACTTTTACCATTGTGACTGTGAACCTCCAATGTCTTGTTCTCAGTCTCTGGAAAGCATTCAATATAATGACAAGAATGTCTGCAGCCAGTGTTTGGCAAATCAGGACCTGTGCCCTATTTGTATACCAGTATTGAAGGGGGAAAGTGTTTAATACCCTATCCCCCAGTTTTTTAATAACTATTATTTCCACAGGAAAGATATGAAAGGAAGATATGGGTGGGTTCCATGCCTTTCCCTAACTAGCTACCAATGCTCTCTCCCTCTAGTCTTTGCTCAGCACCCTGAGATCTGTGAGAAATGCCTGCAAGTAAACTGCAAATTCCTTTGCTAATCCACACTAGGTAGGTGAAGTTGGAGTTCATTGTTGCTATGGACCCTATGGATTTTAAATTGCTCTAATCATACTGGTCTTCAGCTTGATTTGAGGTTTTTCCTTTTGGGTTGCTCCCTAGAAACTGCCTTGTAGGTATAGTTTTCACAAGTGGTCCTACCCCTTCTTCTTCTAGAGTTTCATCTGTTTTCTAATCTATTTATTTTTGTTTTTTATTTTTTTTTCACTGCTTGTAAAAAAGCAGTAAAAAGCTGAGAGGAGGAGTAAGGAGAGGTAATATTACCAAGGAGTACTGAAACTTCTAGGATGATGGACAAGGCCATAGTCTTGATTGTGGTGATACAGGTGGGTACATGGGCCAAAATATATCAAATGATGCACTTTACACATGACTAGTTATGGGATGTCAGTGACACCTCAGTATAGCTATTTTAACATAAATGAACTGGAAAGTAAGAAATACAACTGCTTTTATTCATGGACATCATCATCATATACATAGGAAAATTCAAAAGAATCTATTAAAAAAAGCTTCAAAGCACGATCGTGACACAGGTGTAAAGTCAACATTCAAAATCAACTACAGTACCAAAAAAATTAAAAATTTCAAATAATGCCATTATAATAGTTTTTTAAAAGAAGTACCTAGGTATAACTATATAATAGAAAATAGCACTGCTGAATCAAATTAAAAATAATTATCAAAATAAAGACCTACATATCACAAACATGGATTATAAAATTTAATATTGTTAGGATGTCAGTTCTTTCTAACTATATTTATAAATCCAATGTAATCTCAATCAAATTCTAGCAAAAATATTTTTTAAAAGTAACAAGCTAACATTTATATTAAAATGCAATTTTGAGAAGAAAAAAAACTGGAAAACCTTTTTCTTTCAAAATTTATAATAAAACATGGTATTGGTATAAATAGAGAAATTAACTGAACAACAGAGTCCAGAAGTTGGTCAAAAATAATATGGTCCATTTTCAATAGATATGCTAAGACAATCCAACAGAGAAAAGAATTATCACAATGGAGCACAAAGAAACTTTTTTGTGTTACAAAGATGTTTTATAACTAGACTAGCATGATGGGTATATAGTTTCATAGATTTGTCAAAGCTCAAAGAACTACACACTCAAAATGAGTGTGTTTTATTGCATTACTGTAAATTATACCTCAACAAAGCTAATTAAATCAAAAGAAGTCAGAATGCAAGAAGACATGCTCAGCACATCTCACTAAAGATAACTACACAAAAATATTAATAATGCCAAATGTCAATAAGAAAACCACCACCAAATAGGTGACAAAGATTTATACAGGTGACTGATAGACAAAAAATCCAAATGTCTATTACACATGGCAATATATTTAACCTCACAAATAATAATAGAAGTACAAATTAAAACAAAAACATATCCCAGCTAAAAGAAGAGATCCGATTATTTGAAATCTGAAGGATATGAGAAAAACTGATTTCTACACAGCAGTGTGAATTGCTATATTTTCTTGAGAGATCTGTTTAACAATATTTGGTGAAGATAACAAAGCACATATACCACAACATAGCAATTACACTTCTATGTGTGTATTCTAGAGAAAATTTTGCACACATACAGGAATAAACACATACAAGAATATATATTTTAAAAATGGAATAGAAAGATTGGAAATAATTTAACATGTACAAATAGGGAAATGTATAAATAAAATTTAGAATTCATACAAATGGTTAAAATTAAAGGAATAAATATATATACACACAATTTAAAAATCTAATGCTGAGGAGAAAGACACAGTGAGTATAAGAGCATTTATGAAGACCTAAAAATATATTTTAAAAATCCTTAAAATAAGAGATTGGATGACTATGCACATCAAATTAATGACAAAGGAGCAAACTGGACTGTTAACAAAACAAAGGTGACTTCAATGATATTTATTAATGCTTATTTTAAAATTCTGAAGCAAAAGATGACATTTACATATTCTAAATGGTTGATTATACATTTCTGATATTATTCTTTTTAGTTTCTATAATTTTAAACATTCCAAAATCAAAATAATAATTTTTAAACTTACAAAAACATGAAAGACCAAAGGAACTAACTTTGAATTCATATTCTGGATTTTGAGATAACTTTAATCCAAAAAGCAAGGTTTACCTCCTGATAAATAAATTCAGCATTTATCTTGAGTACAAAAATTGAGTTTACAAATTTTCTGTTGTTTCTCAAATTTCTAGAGTTGGCAGACTCCCATGAAAAAAAAATTTAAAGTTGTAAAAATTGTAAACTAAACAATGGAAAAGAATATTAATATAACCTTCCTTTTTTCTTTCCCCAGACCTGCAGATGGAACCTAGAACCTCCCACATGCAAGGCAAGTGTTCTACCATTGAGCTGCACCCAAAGCTCCTTAAATCTTACTTCAGTGATGTAACTCCAAAGTCACTGCTCTGATCACCATTTTCACTGCCCCTCCGTGTGGTCCTCACAGCCACCCATTCAGTCTCCAGATCCAACAAACTCTTGCAGAACATTTTTTGGCTCTCCTGACTCTTTCCCATTTGGCTTGTCTATTATCCTGGTCCTAACTTCATACTAATGTTCATTTTTTTAAGTTCATGTGGGCATGGTTTATGTGGACTTTAAATATTAAGGGAGAAATTTTTGGAACTATGCTCAACTACAAGAATATTTATAATCAATAAACCTGAAACCCACCACCCGATTTTCTTGTAGTATCATTATATTTTATGCCTTTATTTTAAAAAATTCTCTCTACAACTATTATTTGTCTCAAAATATTACTCACCTCTGGATAAAGATGGAAGCGTTTCACTGTATTAATTACAAGGGGATACTCAGTAAGCCTATCATTCATAATCATCCACAGTCCTTCCAAAAATGAAGGTGCTTCAATAATGGTCTTGAAGTAGGAATAATAAAGTCCCTTTATTTAAAAAAAAAAAAAAAGCACAGAGGTCAAATATAAATAAAACTTTAAAATATTTTTACATCTCCTTTTAGAACTTTTTTCTGAAAAAAAGGTCAATAATAAGACTTTTTAATTACACCTTGATATTACATTAGTAGACTTAAAAAAGCAAGTTTTTTCAGATATCGTTTTACTATTCTATCAGCTTTTCTGAGTGCTTAAAGTTTTTCAAAATGAAGAATTTTAGGGATGGTCAAATGTTTGAAGAAGCTTTTCTAATAGGGCCTTAACATATGTATACAATATACTTTAAATTTTACCAAATATGTTGTGCCCACAGTCCTTGGATTGTTGGCATATAATGAATTTTACCATAAATGGGGATGCTTCTGTGACCCTCTGCAAATTTTGCATATGAAAAATTTCCTTTTTTCCTATGCTTTTAAGAAATATCACACAATGATCATAAACATAGCTTGAGAGTGGAACTTCATGCTTCCTGCTTATTTCATACCTCTATCATCACTGCACAAAGTGACAGCTAAATGTCATTGACTTTTGCTCACAAATGCTGTATATTGAAAAAAGAATTATTTTAACATATCACTTCAGCATGTGAAATAATGGCTTCATTAGGAGAGTAAAAGTGCCTTTGATTTAAAATTCAAGCATTTTTTTAAAAGCACGACTTTTCATATCACTTTGTCAACTTGCTATTTTCAAATAAGATAGAAAATAAAGGACTGCATGATTTATAAAAGGAAATAAAGGTCTACATTGTTTGTAATAATACCCTCTGGCCCCAAAATAATAAAAATAATTTCAACTTTAGACTCATTCTTCCTTCATCCAACTATTTTATTTTTTTACACACAAAATATCTTTTATTCCAAATTATACAAAACCAAAACCCCAAACAAGTATTACTTATAAGATCCACTGATATTTATTTTTAAATAATATTACATAAATTTAAAAAACCTGAGTTCACTCAAATTTGCCAGTAAATGATTAGTTTTTTTGCTAACTATGCTCACCAAGTTGTAAGAACAAAGGAAACATCCACATTAACACTTTATAGGTTTTGACGTGTGATAATACCTGGATATTAGGCAGCAGCCAATAAAAATATCAATATAGTTTTCATTCATCAAAGGAAATATTATTCAAGTTTCCAAAATAAGCTTGAGTTATTTGGGGTTTGAATTTTTTCAAAAGGCCAAGTTAAAATATAAGAACAAATAGTTTTCATTTAGCGGGAACTGAAATCAATGTGTGTACTTCCAATCAAATATCTGTCCCAGGGAACATGCTTCATTTTTAAGAGTCAAGCCAAACCTTTGCTGCCTTTGCTGCTCCAATGCTTCTGTTTGCTTTGCTCAAAACCCAGCAACACCCCCCTCACCCCACCCTCACACACACCAGGCCTTTGTTTGTCCCTGTGGTGCTGGGGATCAAACCCAGGGCCCTGCACATGGTAGGCAAGCACTGTACCACTGAGCTACACCCTCAGCCCTTTTCCCCTTTCTTTTCTCTCACTATGCCTTCAGCTTTTTTCTCTGTTCTGGTCGATCCGTACTGGGACTGTCCATGGTGGTCTAGAAGAATCTTTTTGTCTCTCCATTTATCAGTCTCCATTTTCATTTCATCTTTTTCATCTTTTACCAATATATTGCATTTTTCGTGGCCCTGTTTGGGTAACAACAGTTGCTATCTCTTGAACATCTTTCATTAAAACATTACTGTATACTTTGAGAAATATTTTAAGTCTGTTATGCTCCTTTGGAGTACTTTTTTTTTTTCCAGCAGTCATCTTCCCTTTCTACTTACTCTGTAAGCTTTTAGCCATTTAGATCGTACTCACTGGAATTCAACTACCTAATTTTTGATAGGCCAAACAACACTAATGGGTCCTCAATTGAAGATCTGTTTTAGCTCATCTCTGATTGGCCATTTTCTCATAGTTTTGATTGTCAAAATATCAGTTCATGGAAGTATTTTCCTTTCAGTGCAGAAAGACAAGCAACACAACAATTAAAAGATATTTCATATGCAAAAGACTGTATTTAGGAAAGCAATGTACATATTTAAATAAGTTACTGATAACAAGATATTATTTTGTTATACCTGCTTCTGTTCATTTTCTCCCTTTGTTTTCACTAAAACCCTATGAGGAAACTATTATTTCTACTTAATAGATGAGATGAGAAAGATAACTGATTAGCCATCAAACAATGAAGCACATTACTGCTGAGTCCTGTGATCTGTCACCAAAGCCCACACTCTGTCACAGCTACCCTCTTTATTTAATAATAGTTTATATCCTGTCACAGAAATATAACTTTTTAAAATATTCATATCTTAAAATATGCTATGCAAATATTTATGAATCAAATTCTTCAAAACTTTACAGGTGTTAGAAAGATGAAAATAAACAAGAAGTGGCTAAAGGACCTAATATTCTGGAAATTTATAAAACAGAAGTTAGACACAAAAATTCATTTCCATTCCTAATAAATTTCTTCTTTACATTCTTTCTATTTTTAAATCACAAATGAATTCATTAGAAGATAGAGGCTAACCATTTCAGTGCGAAAAGTCATCTCTCGTTCCAAAGATGAGAGGTGAGAAAAATGACGGTCATTTTCAAAAAGTGATATTAAATGTATCCTAGGGAAAAAATGAAATATAATAAGAACGGGTGTCAAACCAATGCTAAAACATTTTTAGGTTATAGCTAAAGTAAGAAAGCCATATAAAAAATAAATTTTTATAATAAATATTAAGATAATAGCAGAATTGTTTACTAACTTACATGTTTGGGGCATTTATAATCCAGTGTAGCACATATGTGAAATTTATTAACTTAGTTCTTAAACTTATTTCTATGTATATCCAAAATTCCTCCAATTCTCTCCTCCCTTCCTTCCACCCTAGGCTTCTAAATCAGAACACTGGCAAGTTTTGTTTTGTTTTGCTTTTTAAGTTTAAGAAGTGATTCAAATGTACCAGGTTGGGGAAATACCTTTATTAATTGTTGAAAAGTATTCAGAATATAATTTTAAGTAAAATTAGATGAAATTGATTTTTAAAGAAGTATAGTATCATATAATGGACCAACTTTAAAGTGCCAAAGAACACAGAACTATACTTAAAAGATATTTTAATAGTGCAAATCAATAGCTGTAGACAATGACAAAATATGTGATAAATAAATTAGTTGCAGTTAACATTTATGCGATCCTTAATTATGTGGTGCTTTCCAATGAAGTTGGAAATAAAGCAAAATTCCATCTATCAACTTGGTTTTCCACTCCCCGTTATTTACACGTGGGTCACATGTCAGGAGACTAATATCAGTAAGAATCCTTCCTACCATTATAGCTAACATCAAAAGCTTCCTGTAGACACAATGACCAGAGCAGCACTATTCCAACAGAACACAGCATCCATACTTCCCGAAAGTAGAAATCTGAGCTCAGTTGAGACAAAAATATTCCAGATGGAAAATATCATTATTTTACAGATGATTTTTACAAATAGATTACTTTTGTAAAATAAAATGCCCATGCACAGTAAAATGCTCAAAGTCATTTATTTCTGCCTTTACTACTACTAGAGTCTTTCTCTTCAATTCTACCTGCTCACCAGTTGACAAGTATTAATAAAATTTTATCTCTAAACTCATGTCACTTAACACATTGGTACTCTAAAGTAAGAAAGTATTTTAGTTTAAGCTACAAAATACACTAGGAAACTTAAATATTTAAGGAAATACAGTGGGGAATTCTTTGGTAAAGCCAGAATATTTAAATTTGTAAGTGACTATTCTCATAATTAATCTATTTTATAAATTCTGCTTCACAATATGAGATTTATTAAAAAAACAACATTTATAAATTGGTACACATATAGATATTCCATATACATAGCTAGAAGTTATGTTTTACTATATGAAAATACTGATGGCAAGTTATAAACCAAATTTTTTTATTTATTCCAAAAGAAAACTAAATCTTACCAGTGCAAAATTCCCACAATAGCAGCTGGAAAAAGAAAAAAAAAAGGAAATTAAAAGATGCTTTACCTGAAATACCTTTAAAACAAGTATTTCAAATGCATTTGCTTACATGTCCAGAGAGATAGAAAATAAAGATAGATGGCCAGCTACTTCTGGTTCATGTGAACATAGGACACAAAACAAATTGCAAATCACACTTACCTTTTGCAAAGGGACCTTGACAACTGAGCAAAGGGGAAGACTTGAAAGGTTTATATATGCCTCTTTGATAATTTGTAAAGGAGTGATGAAATATGTGCTTTTGAAACTTTTGGGGTTTTTTTCAGTATTATTTTCTATTGTCTCTTATTCTCTATTGTGTAAATTTTAAAAAGGAAGTAAATAAATATACTAGGCTCAGATTTTTTTAGAAAAGACTTAAGCCAACAGGAGCCACTCTAGAACACTGTCCCTTGAGCTCATCAGAAAATGGTTAAACGTAGAAAATCATTTCTTAAGAGCCCATTTGAAAACACCATTATGCAATTCAAACCTTGAGGAAGTGTCAGCTCTTTGTGAGTTCCCAGATCTAGGTACCTCTAAATGGCCCATAACATGCACCCTGTGCATGAGGCTTTACTAGAGGGCTATGAGGTCCGATAGGGACTCTTTAGATATGGAGCTTTTTAAAGAGCAACAAACATAGTCTGTGCCCTCTGGTGACCAGAAAGTTGCTTTTTATAAGAATACCATGGAGCTGGGCAGAAGAAAGGGGTGAGAAGGGGTGGGCAGTGGTGGAGGAGGCAGAACAAAAATACCACAAACCCTACCGTTCTCAAAGGGTTCAACAGCTTTACTTGAATTAATGTTCTTTAGGTTATTGTAATCCTTTGGCTAATTTCTGAAGTTATGAAAAAGTTGATTTTGATAATCTCCTAAATATCTTCCTTCTTGTCAGGGAGAAGTGAATTTACTATTTCAGAAGTTCTGCCTTCCTTCTAAGACTTTGTAATAATTCTAATGGTTGCCCCAAATATACTTAGCAAGTCATCTTAAAAACCACAAACATTAACCCTTTTAAAAATTTAAAAATTACTCAAATTGGCTAATAAAATAAATGCAAGTTATTCAATAAAGGAATTAAAAATTACAATGATGAAATCCCCAATCATGTTTCTCCAGCTCTTTTTTCATATTACTATCCTGGATTCATCTTAAATAATTTCCACAAAATTTACCTGCTTTATATCAGGATGGGTAAACTGCAGCCTATGGTTTGTTTCTGTAGTTTCCACAAGCTATAAATGGTCTTTATGTTTTTAAAAGGTTGTAAAAAAAAAAAAAAAAAGATGAAGATACTGAGCAGGTGGCACATGCTTGTAAGCTCTGAAGGCTAAGGCAGGAGGACCGCAAATTCAAAACCAGTCTCAACAACTTATCAAGGCCCTAAGCAACTAAGCAAGACCCACTCTCAAAATAAAAAAATTTAAAAAGGGCTGGGCATGTGGCTCAGTGGTTTAGTGTCCCTGGGTTCAATCCCTGGTACCAAAAAGAAGATGATGATACAATGGACACTATGTGCCCTGCAAAATTTGAAATATTTACTCACTGTTTATACATTTGTTAACATTTCCTATCTAATGTAGTCTGAGTCATCGTTCTCTCTAAATTGGAAAAAGATGCCCATCTGATAAGGCTTCATGAACTTTAAGAAATACAGTAACTGTACTATTCAACTATATTTGTACTCTCTTATTCTCCCGAAAATGAAATGCACTGGCAAAAATTCTTAAAAATAATATTTTAAGTGGAAAAGATCTACCAAAAGATTCTACCAAATCCATCAACCTTTTCAAAGATCCTCAAAAGTCTTTGTGTAACTCTCTCCCCGTCACCCTATATTCCACACCTCCCCCACAAAGGACAAACATGGGTATAATATACAGCTTTCCAGGTGCATGAAGTGCTTAGCATTAGGTCTTTATATAGTGATTAAAAGTATGTCCCTACACCCTGTGTCTATCAGTCTCACCCTGAGGGTGACCCAGTCTTCAACTTGACTGAAACAAACACCAAGGGCCACCAGCACTCCCAATTGCTTTTACCTCCACTTCAACATTTCTCTAAACAGTAATCCTTGTTTTTTTCTATTCTCTACCACCTCGGAAGAGAAAGTCTCTTTCCTTTTTTCCCTAGTTTCTCAAGTTTGTGTTTTTAACTCCCCCTTCTCAAACATTCCAAAACGTTGTTCCATCAATTATTTCCTTTCTTGGGTCTTTCATTTGTTGATCTTTCATTTTCCTAGAACTGAAAACACTTGCCTTAAGGTAAGAACCCTTCCAAGTGTGGAATATGACCGCCCCTGTTTCTCTCCCATTTAATAACAAGACTCTTGGCCACTTTTCTCCTTTGAAGTTCCCAAACTCTTTAAAAAACCAATGACCTCTTAGTTATCAAAATCAACACTCTGTTTCAATTCCTATGCTCTTCAATCTTCCTGTAGCATTTGATCAGTTTCTTGGATTTTTTTTCTCTCATCTCTGTCACACCAAATCTCCCCATTCTATTTTCCTAAAAACATTTTATACGTTCACCTGGTTTTTTTTTCCCCTTTTCTTCTCATCCTCTGAAACTAAATTTAAAAGTTTTCTCCAGGTCTCTTTACTATATCCCCTTCTCTCGCCACATTGGTATCTCTTGGCAATCTCAAATTCTCAATGATCATTTCTACACTAATTATTACCACATCCATGATCTTCAAACCTGAACTTTCTCTTTCCCTCCACCTCCCTCAGTTCCTGTTCTAACTACCTATTTTGTCCTGTCAATCTCTGTCTGGCCCTCCCCATTCCTACATGCTAAGACCATTATAGCCATTCTATTTCCTTTTCTATGTCCAGCCCAGTGTCCACCCTGCTGCTGAGTTAACCTCTGTGAAGCACACGCCTCATCAAATCATTCTCCAATTTGAAAGTCATTCAGTGTCAACACAGTGAATGTACTAATATGCCACTGAATTATTCCCTTTCAGGTGGTAATTTCAAATTATCTCCTTAAAAAAAATGTTTTTGAAAAAAAGAACCAATCAGTGCCTTCTTACTAATAAATAATAGAGGTCAAATGCCCAACCCTCGGCCTTGATTTGACTCTTCAAGGCCAATCCCAATCAACCTTTTCAATTTACTTCCTACTTTCTCTTTTTTCCACATCTTTCCTTTCAGCCTAATTTGGCTTTCATGTTGTCTTACTTCCACAACTTTAATCATACAGTTCCATCAGCCTCTAATACTTGTTCTCAGCTCCATACATCCAAATATTGGCCCTTTGTGACAATTTGAGCCCCAATTTTCCCCAACAGTGTTTCCTGGTCTCCTTTCTCACTCCCAGCCCTAAAATATTAACTTGTTCTTCTAAGCTCCCATAACAACTGATATCGTCTGTCATTACTGCACCCAACACTCATCAGTTGCCTCTTAAGGACCAAACTTCAGTGCACTGGAAGTTGGATTTGGGAAAATGGTGTGGTTTCCAAACCCATGTTGATTCTGGATGTGGAATATGTCTACTGACATAATTAGAAATGTGATAAAAATCTAAACAAGAACTATCATTATTTCTCAAGTATTGTTATCACTCCATGTGTGGAGCTTCCACTAACCTGGTGGAAAAGAAAATACAATGACTCGCATTAAAAGACAATTTATCTATGTCTCAATTTATATTGGTATTCAGTCTGATCAAGGATTGGGTTCAGAATAGAGACAACAATAACATTTAAGTTATATCCCAAACTACAAAAGATGAAGGAAGAAAACTATTTCAAGTACCTAAATAAGACAAAATCCCTAATTTTAAGCACGGAAGCAGCACACCAGACCGAAAGTAAATGGGTATCAGCTCTGGGTCATCTTTGTCCAGTCTGACCTTATTTTCACTATCAATGATGTCAACTAATTTGAAAAAACACTTCCTTTGTTTTGCTTTATTTAAGATGAAAAGAAGCATAAAATATCTTTACCTCCCACCCAAAGATCTTGCCAATCACTTTTACAAAGTGTGAGAATTGGCTTCCTAGGTTAAATAATATTTTATTGACATAGAAGTGACCACTAAGCCCAAAAATCCTACAAAAGTATTTTAACACAAGAAGTAAGGAGGCTGGGAATTCTTGGCAAGTGCTTCTCCAGCGCTTGGATCTCATCATTATTGCTGCTAGGAACCCACAAACGCTTGTTAAATTCTTCTCCATTAAGACTCAAGAAAACCACTTCAAATCTTTCTAGGCTCCAAGGGAAAAGCCTAGCACCGCGGGACCCTGGCAGGAGCGCCATCAGGCTCCTTCCAAGGGCTCTCCTGCCTGCTCTGCTCACCTATGCTGAAGGTGGTCCTGCTCGAGACCTTAAGGGTCTGCAATACGTGCACCTTTTCGCGGACCTGTTCCAGGAAACAGAAGAGAAATTGAAAGCGGCCGAAAAGTAGTGTTTTGGCGAGCTGTTCCAGATGCAAGCAGTTTTGCGCGTTCAAATTTCGGATCTTCCGCGGCGTGTAATCCCGGGAGCCCCCTGGCAGGTTTCTGCCGCTTAGGGACGAAGGCTGCAGAAGCAGCTCCGGCTTTTCCATCTCCTCCTGCAGCTCTTTCTCCAACTCGGGCTCCCCGGCTCCGGCTCCGGTGGCCTTGCGCCGCCGCTTCGACTGCAAGGCGCGAGTAGATTCAGGTGGCTCTGAAGTCGCTTCTTTGAGTTTACTCCTCGTTTGCCCGACCATTTTCTCATAGTCCCTGTTAGGATGGAGCTGGGTCTCTCTAGGCAGCGGGCCCAGCCGACTCAGGCGAGGTCCCGAGGGGCCTGACTGGCCTCGCAGCCTCAACGACTGGTCCTCGCCGCCGTTGCGGGCTTCCCAGTCGTCATGGCAACCGCGAAACGTGGAGGGCGGGGGCGCGAGCCTCGCTGCTTCGCGCCGCCCGCGCGCACAACCTCGGCGCAGCACCCCCGCGCACGCCACCTCCGCAGAGCAGCGCTCCACGCCAGCTGCACGCGCGCGCCACCCACGCGCACCGCCTCCCGAGCACAACCCTGCGCGCATCCAGCCCCGCTGGCATCCAGCCCCCACGTGCCATCCCACGAGCGACGGGTACCCAGCCCGCGTGAGTCAGGAGATGTCACCCCACAGCCTGAGGTGGACGTGTGTAATGTGATACCATGGTTTTCTCTTTACTATCCTTTATTGGAATTCCACCAGGGGCGTCAGAATTCCTCTGCCATAGAAGGGTTGTGTTCAAGGCGTGCAGCACTTTCCTAAATCAGTCTTTACCCAGGACCAACTAAGAGGTGCGCGCTTGTTGTCACAGTCACCACACCATCCCATGGAGGCCTGAGTGGCTAGTACAGATGGACGCTAGAGGGTGCGGGGTGGCATATTCCATGTCCTCTGGCACAGTCCATAATGCAGCAGTCATACTGCTTCACGTTCCATCTGTTTTGTTTCGTTTCGAGGTTTTTTTGTTTGTTTGTTTGTTTGTTTTTGTCGATGAGATTTAACTCCCTAATCCCCAGTTCCCCGTCAGAACTATAAATCACTGTAGCCAGGTTAGTGACCCTGATGCAACACCATTTAGAAATGTTCATGGCTCCACATAGCCCATAAAGTGTAAACTCCCTGGTTTGCTCATCAAGCCTTCAGTAATCGGCCCACATCTACCTTTTCAACTTTCCCATTTCCCAGACGCTGATCTTCCATTCCAGTCATTCCAAGTGAGAGGGCCACAGCAGGAGGCTCTGTAACTGACTTTTTAAAAATCCTTTTCTGCCTGCCCACCTGAATTTTGTCACCTTTGGGCTGCAGTAATTACTCCTTCTCTGAGAGTCTAGAGCTCTTATGGACAGTATTGTTCATCTGGATACTAGTTTAAATTCACTAAGCACAAAAATAAAAATATTTAAAAACACCCAAAGTTCAATAAGTACTGTTATGGTCAATGTGTTGTTTTACAAGGTTGGTTGTTATTGTTTCTCCCCAGGGAGCATTTCTACATTCCTGTACTGTGGTGTTTTGTTTGTTTGTTTGTTTTTGTTTTTATGTTTTGGCACTCAACTTATAGGAAATTGCAGATCCGGGATATAGTAATTTGCCCAATTTTTAACAGCAAGTAAATTCTACCTGTTCAGTACTGAGTTTAAAATACAAGGTATTTATGAGTGGTTGGTAAAAGAGTTCTTGAATGAATACAAAAAATAGAACACTTTATGTTTTAATATTTTGGAACAATAAGGGCAGTGCAGTAATTGTATTTTTCGTTTTGAATCAGATATATAGTAAACATAGGATTAATTAATAGTGTTTGGCACTGTTCTAAATCTTTTACATAGAGGACCCTCATAGGAAAATCAACAGTGTGACATTGAGCTAGTAATTTAGCCACTCTAACATTAATTTCTTCATTTGAAAAATGAGTGAAGTTCATATATCTTACTGAATGGTATCACTGAATGAAATAATTATGGTAAACCACCTAAAACCTAGTGCATACTTAATTAATGTTACATTACCATGTTTTAGATGGAATATTTTATGGAACGCTGGAGAGTATTACTTCCAATTAAAATTTTGCTCACCTGGATTCATAATCATCAAGTTATATATTAGTTCTATTATTGAACAACACTACATGTTCTAAGTTCATTAGCTAACTGAGAAAACTGAAACAGTTGCCTAAATAGTTATGTGTTCTGTTACTAAACAGAACAGATCTGTGTGTAAGAGGGAAATCATGACATTTATTTTATCCACAGTTCATTAGAATCCTGCATGTTTTCATCTTTTTATATCTTCTGTAAGAATGATCTCTTTTGAACCTAGTTATCTTAAACAGTTATTTGAGTCACATTTCAGCTACATGCTTATTAACAATAACAACTTAAACCAATATTCCTGATATTTCATTCTATTATAAAATAATTTAAATAGCACAATATAATTAGATATAATGCAATATATTTCTACATTACCTTATGTTGTTAGAAATGAAGATGCCTCATGATACATCAACTGATTTTCCTTGCATAAAGATTTCTAATCCAGTCACATGTATCTAAAACTTGCTTATTTGTTCCCTTTGTCTTTTAGTAAGGTAATTGGTAATTTTTTACCAAAAAAAAAAGCAACTTAACTATGTAACCAGCAGGTGGCAATAATGACCTGTGAATCAGAATTTTAAAACATTTTAGGTAGTTTTAAATGAATAAATTAAAATTTTTTAAAAAAGAAAATCACTATTATTGTAATGAATCAGTTTACTAAATATGAAATGTAGGGAAATGCTAAATGTAACCCCACATAATAATAATTATATAGCATATTTCCTGTATGAAAATCATTAAGATAGTCATTAAGATCAATAGTTTTCCAAATAATAATGACTGTGTTTTAGTTGGTTCAGAAAAATAGTCTATAAAATTTCAGTGCTTTAATTTTGCACAAATACACAGATACATATTTAAATTAAGCTAAGCTACATCAATATCTACCTTGATTATGTGGACCAATTTAGATAGAAGGAATTCAATGAACACCATTTTGAAAATGTTATAAACTTTGCACTTTTAATTTGATCATTTAAAATCCTGCTTTCACTTTGATATTATTCTGCATGAAAGATGGGTTTTGTGCTACTTCGCACAAAATGCTTTTTATGGTGCAATGAGTTGGAAATGGCATCAATATATTTATCTTTAGTCTATCAAAATTAGTTTTCTTCCAAAATGCTGGCAAAATTCTTAGGATCGCACAATTATGTGAACTGCACTTAAGCTACATTTCAAATCTTTTAGATAATTTTACTTTTTAGTTTTACTCACTTTAATTATACTTCCTTAAGACTTTTTCTATACATTCAAAGATTAAAAATTTTTTTGTTTTATTATATATCTCTATTTTGGTCTCCTAAAACTAGGGTATGTGCTTCTTAAAGGCTATTTGTTTTTCACATAATTTCAAATCTGTCTGTTTTTATATATTAAAAGAGTCTTTCAAATTATTCTTCAGCAAGTTGCCTCTGCTGAAAATGAGTATCTTTCAACTTTGTGTATTAAATACTACTTATTTAATCTATAATCATTACAAAGCTAGGGTTGATTAATTTTTAAATAGTAAAAATTTTACTTTAAAAGCTAATATTGAATTACTTTATAGAGCTTTTTAAAATTCTAGTTGGATACAGGGGCTGCTTTAAAGGGGAAAATGGAAAGTTGTCATACAGTGAAGCATACAGCAAGTTTAAAGGTAAATGCATCTTTTTAAAATTTTAACTTGTTATATGTAACAACAGAATGCATTACAATTCATTTTACACATGTAGAGCACAATTTTTCACATCTCTGGTTGTACATAAAGTAGAGGCACATCCTTCGTTCTTCATACATGTACTTAATGATGACCATCGCATTCCACCATCTTTCCTACCCCTCTGTTCCCTTCCTTTCCCTCCATACCCTTTCCCTTTGCCCTATCTAGAGTTCATTTAATCCTCCCTTCCCCACCCCCTGTAGTATATTATGAATCAGCATCCTTAAATCAAAGAAATGATTCGGAATTTGGTTTGGGGGGATTGGCTAATTTCACTTAGCATTATGTATATGAGGGTGCCTTTTCCCCCACATCCTTGCCAACACTGATTGTTGTTTGTATTCTTAATTGCTGCCATTCTGACTGGAGTGAAATGAAATCTTAAGAGTAGTTTTGATTTGCATTTCTCTAATTGCTAGAGATGTTGAATATTTATTAATATATTTGATAACTGATTATATATCTTCTTCTGGAAACATTTGTTCGGTAGCTTAGCCCATTTATTGATTGGCCTCATTTGGTTTTTTGCTGTTTTGCTTTTTGAGTTCTTTATATATTCTAGAGATTAGTGCTCTATCTGATGTGCAAGTGGTAAGAATTTGTTCCCCATTAGTAGGCTCTCTATTTACCTCACTGATTGTTTCTTTTGCTGAGAAAAAAGTTTTTTATAGTTTGAATACATCTCATTTATTGATTCTTGATATTAATTTTTGCGATAATAGGAGTCTTATTAAGGAAGTTGGGGCCTAATCTCACATGATGGAGATTTGGGCCTATTTTTTCTTCTAATAGATACAGCATCTCTGGTTTAATTCTGAGGTTCTTGATCCACTTTCAGTTGAGTTTTGTGCATGGTGAGAGATAGGGGTTTAATTTCATTTTGTTGCAGATGGATTTCCAATTTTCCCAGCACCATTTGTTGAAGAGGCTATCTTTTCTCCAATGTATGTTTTTGGCACTTTTGTCAAATATAAGATAATTATAATTAAATGATTTAGTCACTGTGCCCTCTATTCTGTACCATTGGTCTACAAGTCTATTTGGTGCCAATACCATGCTGTTTTTGTTACCATTGCTCTGTAGTATACTTTAAGGTCTGGTATAGTGATGCCACCTGCTTCACTCTTCTTGCTAAAGACTGCTTTAGCTATTCTGGCTCTCTTATTTTTCTAGATAATTTTCATGACTGCTTTTTCTATTTCTATGAGGGATGTCATAGAAATTTTGATTGGAATTGCTTTAAAGCTGTATAGTACTTTTGATAGTATGGTCAATACAATATTAATTCTGCCTATCCAAGAGCAAGGTAGATCTTTTCATCTTCTAAGGTCTTCTTTAATTTCTTTCTTTAGTGTTCTGTAATTTTTATTGTAGGGGTCTTTTGCCTCTTTTGTTGATTCCCAAGTATTTTATTTTTTTTGAGGCTATTGAAAATGGGGTAGTTTTCTCATTTCCCTTTCTGAGGATTTGTCACTGATATACAGAAATGCCTTTGATTTATGGGTGTTGATTTTGTATCCTGCTACTTTGCTGAATTCATTTATTAGTTCTAGAAGTTTTCT